CAGGTACCCTCCACCCGGAGCATGGGGAGCGGGGGGAAAGGGCAGGAGCTGCCCTGCAAGGGGAGGGCATCCCCGTCCCCCGTGTCCTCTAGCCGGTTGGAAAGGGCTAAGTCAGCCTGCTGTAGGTATTTCTCTTGAACTGGCAGGCTAAACTATAGTTTTTATAGTTAAACTGTCATTTTCAAATTCCCTTTTTTTACCTAATATTATCTCAGCATTGCAAGAGATGAGTCCAGGCAAGCGTTCATCACTCAGGAGCTGATATTTTTTCATGTATGCTATGCTGATGGGAGATAAGTGTGGAGGTAGCTTCCCACCTCAGACTTTTTGATTAAGAAGGAATGAAAGTATTTTACTCATTGTTTTCAGCCAATCTATTAATTCTTTGCCAATCTCATACCACCATAGATGTGCTGCACAGTGTGTACACTGTGCTGGAGGTTTGCACCGTGATGGGTGACTTCTGCTGTCCTGTTGTGTGCCACCCACCTGACTGTAGCCCTGCTTCTCTTAGGCTGTAGGTATTGCTTTCTTCCAGTGCTCGTTCTTAGCACCACTTTTCACTGAGGCCTGTGGGAGTTGCTAGTCTTTGATAGCCCATAAATGAGCATTAGTTCTGGTTTCTGAGGGCTTCTAAGAGGCAAACCACCAAACCTTTCAGTGATACCCAGGGATGAGGAAGGAGCACCAGCAGATCGGCAGTTATCCCAAGCCAGAACAGAGGGCTGTGCTGGGAGAGCAGGTGGTACCTTGGGTCGTAGGTGCCCGATTCCATTCAGAGCCTTCCCAAGTGATGTGCTGGAGCTGCTCTCCTTATGTAGCACAAGAATGGAAAGCAGATGCAAAGTCCTCCGCTCGCCCCTGCTCTTATGTCCCTGACCTGCCCTCCTGTGCTCTGTCTGTACCCATAGAAACTTTGGGAGAATTGAGATGATGATGGAAAGCATCAACAGAGTCTAAGTTAAAATGGTGTTAAAAATAATATAAATTATCTTTCTATATCTAATTGAAGACACAGGCCCTCTGACTCAACAAGCTGAAGCAACTGTTGCTACAGACTGGAAAAAAAAATTGACTCCAGAGCAATTCTATGTTACAAGAGAAAAAGGAACTGAACCGGTAAGCAAAAGTGCTAATGCTGTCCAAGGTTAAGCCACCTCCTCCAGAGGAAAACCTGCTTTGGGGAGCTGTCACCACTCCGTTGCTTCACAGGTTTTCCCCTGCCTTCCTGTGGATGAAAGTTAGACTCAACATACTGAAATGGATGGATTTTGGTCTGACCCAGGCTGGTTTGCAGATGAAAAAACATTCTGCATTCTTTTCATATTTTGGTTTTTTTCTGGGATACTTTACTGCCAGCTCAGCCGTCTGTGTGGCAGTAGTGGAGTCCTCTCCAGAGAGGAGGGAGAAGATCATATTTTTGTCCTGTAGTCTCCTTTTTTTGACCATATGTAGATTAGCCATGGAAATCTTACATATAGCACTCCATTCAGGAGCCGGGTTATCCCTCGTGTGCCAGATCACCCACCCACCTTGTCCCCACGCTTTGCTTCCTTCTGTGATGGAGGCCACGTAGCGTTGTGGCTGGAGCGCCAGCGTCTCTAGCCCAGAGCCAGGGCTTCTGCATGCGTGGAGCACGTACCGTGGGATTAAATCATGTGAACCGTGCCCAAATCCTTATCTGTGAAATAAGGATCCTAATACCAGACCATGCAGGGAGGAAGAGAGTCCCTTTGTAGAGCCACTTTGAAGTTGTGGCACTCCATAGCAGAGCCCTGGTCTTTGGGATCCTGCACATTTCACAAGTTCCTCGGAGGTCACGACTCCGGCCCTGGTACCTGGATGATTTATGCATCTGACTGGTCTCGAAGTTTCTGGGGGCAGGGGGTAGTCTTCACTATTAATCCAAAGGCATCCTCCCCTTCATTTCTTTAGGCTGCTAATGTTTGTTCTTCAAAGCCCCCCTGTGAAGCCTTCTTTTTATGGTTTTTCTCCGGTTTTGAATCTGATTCCTACATGCTTGTTCCAGATGGTGAGCTTTTAAAGACCTGCATTATTAACTTCTCTTTTTTTCTTCCTTTTTTAAAAGCCATTTAGTGGGATCTATCTGAATAACACAGAATCGGGAATATACTACTGCGTGTGCTGCAACGCCCCACTGTTCAGGTAACATCCTTTAGATTTCACAGCATCCTTAAAATGTCCTAACTGTGGCAGGAGGGCCAATGTCTTTTCATGAGAGGAGTGGAAAGTGTAGGTCTGAAGAACAATTCTTTGGTGCCAGGGTGCTATGTATAAGATTTCCAGGATACCTGTGGTGATACAGGTATGTGGTGTGCCCTTTTCTTGAGCATATGAAGGTCTCCAGTGGCCGGCAGACAGTAGTTGCTACATTAGGGTCTGCCTTTTCTTCCTGCCACACACACTGTCCTTTTTGGTTGATAATAATTCTGTTTTAGAGGCCTCTAAGCCACAAGTTGCCACAAAATACATGTGTTTATGTGTGAGCATCACTGTATGTTTGCTCTGTTCTTGTGCTCTTCCATAGTCATCTTCTGCCACTCATGCTACTGGGCTAGAGAGACCTTTGGTCTGCCTTAGTCTAGCTGTTGTTATGTTCTTACCACTGGGTCCCTCGTACTGGAGCTGAGACCTCCTCTCCACCACCACCCCCTTCTTGTTCCCTAAATTAAATTCCACTATTTTTGCCTTCTTTGTTACATCCACTTTTTAAAACCTGGCTGTGAATGACTGCTCTATTAACCTCTGTGCTCTTTACAATACTATATATTTTGCAACTTCATTAAAGTCTAAGTAAAAGGAAATAGAGTGCCTTGGAGTAGGATATGCAAAGGGTGTTCTGTTCTCTGTAACTGAACCAGAAAAGACAGTTCCTCATATTTTTGATCTAGAAAATAGCCTTTATATATTCCCAACTGTGAGTTCAATGGAATAAGGCTGATATCCCCATTTTTATGAAGACTTTAAAGGACACACCACAGATCAGAATTTCAAATGGGAAGAGAAACAAGAGGTCTGGACAGTAAGAGGGGAAAAAAGTAATGGCTATAAACCTAAACTAAGCAATTAAATGGTAAAATTGGAGGCTGATAATTGTGAACAGTTAGTTTTCCTTTGGCCAAGTACAGAAAAATATCGTTATGCAAATGAACATCTGATTAAATGCATGTTTTTCTGTAAATGTTTGCTAATAAACACTTAAATAAAATTATTTCAGAAGCTAGTGCAGCATTGCAGAATATTCTGAAGACAAATAAAAATACGTCTGGAAAATTTAGATAAGTTAGAGAAATTTTAAATTACTAAGCTGTGGAAGAATCCCTTCAATTCCTTCAAATGTTCCTTCAATTTAGACATCCTTTATATTAGATGATAGATATTGACAGGCCAACATGAAGAGAGAAGAGCACCGAAGGGAATTGCTTCTGCTGCTAAACTAATAACAAAACAATAATATAAGCAAACAGTCATGCTGTTTTTTGCAGTATCCAGCTCTCAGAGAATATAGGTACTTTTGTTTAAAGCATAAAATAAAGCTGAGCTTTACAGACTGTACAGAGAAAATAAAAAACCCAAAACTTACAGAAAAAACCTTTTAAGAAAATTGAAAATTATTAAATGTGCAAAATGGTCTGAAAATATTTTTTCCATGAATGCATTATGTTGTGGAGGACACTAACAATGAGGAAAAAAATGGTATTTGAAAAGAGATTCATTCATCGTGTTTATTTCCTAATGCGTTAAAAATGTCGTTTCTTTTTCAAATGCATTAGATCATTAGCTACAGGTAAATATGAAGCATTTCCTCCTTTCTTTCAAAGTACACGTGTGTGTATACATTTATACCAGAATTTATTACCTTCTGCTACCAAATACTCATTTGAAAGAGTTGGAAATACATGGAACAAACCCCTAACCTTTATAGATAGCAAATTGTGGTGCTTTAATGAAATCTCAAACCTTCAGCGAACCATAAACCTACAGCTGAGATTCATAGAGCGAAAAGCACTTTTTAGAATTATCTGGATTCCATCCAGGACGACTGAAATAGGGATCAAAGTAAATGACATGTGCTGGAGGAATGGTGTGTCGAAGGCTAATCTAATACATATGTTTAGGGAAAGTCCATTTATCCATAAATTAAGTGGTGAAATACTTCAAAGGACAAATATGATCTTGAACAGCAATATTTTTGGGTACTAAAATGTTTCTATTAGGGAATCTAAGTGATATTACTGTTAGTAAAACCACACAGAGACCATTTCTGTTGAGAGCCAGTTTAACAGCTCAAAGGATTGATCCTTTAGCAGAGGAAAACATCTACAATAAACTTAAGTATTGTGAGCGGCATGTAAGGGATGGAGTCCGTCAGGGTCAGATGCAAAACCCACATAGCCTTGAAGGCCTTCCTTGACTCTACAGGGTTTCAGAGAGGATCCTCGTATCTACGTATGAATAAGCAGAAGGATCCCTGTGTCAGAAAATGAAGAGTTCTGACTGCAATCTTTTGAAAACAAAAAAAGAAACAGCACAGGTATGTCAGGGAAACTCAGAAGTGGTGTACGGACGTTTGCGTTCCCCCAGGTTTTTCTTTGGGAAGCTGTGGCCAGTAGGGCCAGTGTTTGGGTGGCTGTGTAGCAGGGATGCACAGGACTCTCTTTGGCTGGAATGACATAGCTTGGAGCCCTACATACCTTCGCATGCAGACACAGAACTGCAAACTGCATTCGCTTCAGTGCAGCCTGCCTCTGTACTGTCTCCTATTTCGCCTCGGTTTTATGGAGGGGAGGAAGTAGGAGAGCATGTCTCATGGGTCTTTGTGGATTGATGTAATGGACTGAGCAACAGCCCGCACAAAAAATAGCTTTTGGTCATTCTGTGGTTGCAAATCCTCTTTTATTTCCACAGTTGCATTGCTCAAAGACAGCCCTGTACAGTTAATTACAAAATGCATGCTAAAGCATGCACTGTTCTTTGGGTTGGATTTTTTCAAGCTTTTTGCCCTGCTTCTTTGTCTTGTCTTTCCAAATGGCACTGCAAGTAAGATTTTCAGATTTTTCTTCACTGTATTAATATCCCACCAAAATATACATGATACATACTAGGTATGTTGCTTTAAATCCTGTATTGACTAATGGGCTGATCCCCTTGGTGAGAGAAAAGCTGCTGCTGGCGTCGGTGTCTCAGGCACCACTAGGTGCCAGTAAGAGCATTGGGTTTGTGAGGCCGGGCTCGGGCTGGGGAGCCGGGGGAAGCGGTCGTGGGGGCTCCGCGGACCGCCGGTCCTGCGAGGGTGTCAGCCCGTCTTCATTTCTCGCTCCAACTCACTCGTCGGTCTGTTAAGATATGAAGTATGCAATCGAGAGATATAAAAGTATGCAATCGAGTTTAATGAATTGCCGCCCCTTCTAGCAGTATTAGGTATTATCTGCAAATGTAACAAGGTCACTCTTCGCTAGAAGAAAGTACATATTGCTGTCAAAAATTGCACAGCTTTAAATAGGAGGGATTATCTCGTTTCTGTATGCTAAATCCCCCAAATATTTTCTGATCATATTTTCCAATACGCTCCAGGTTTTAGTACACACCTAAACAGGGTTGGTAATCCTGGATGTTAACAGGAGGCACCCACAGGCTGACAGTCTGTAGTACTGTTTCTGATGGCTGCGATTGTTTCTTGGGAAAAGCAGATCTTTGTGCTGTGAGGATTTGTCATTGGTTGATTGATGGTTTGAGCAAGGCCCTACTTGATTTACCAAACTGTTTTGATGGCTGACTGCAAGCCAAAGCCATCACCAGACATGAGCCTGGTCCGGTGGGCCAACCCAGCCATTTTCCATACTCATTTTCTACACTTCCGTTTCTCCTTGTAAACTCTCTTCTCTGAGGTTGTGCTGTATTGGGCCAGGCTTTGAACCGCAACACTGCAGGTGTAATTCAGCTGAACAATGTGCTCAGTTGTTGGGAAAACTTTTTTTCAAGCTTTATAAAATGCCAAACTATCAGTGAAATAGAAACGGTGAGGCAAAAGCTCCTGTTGCGGGCTGATCGAGAATTCCCTTTGGTAAAGAGCTTCCAGCACAGTTTGATGCCAGTGAGAAAACTTCTACTGTGCCAAATACTATTAATAGTAGTACAAGACAAGGATGAGGAAAAAAGCCAACGTTCTTATGAAAAACAGACCTTTTTGTAACATCTCTGTTACTAATTAACAAGAAGATCTGGTTTCCACTATAGCTCAGAAAAGAAGTACAATTCTGGGACTGGATGGCCGTCATTTTCTGAGGCTTATGGTACTTGTGGCAGAGATGAAAGTAATACCAATATCAAGAGACGACTAGATAACTCATTGGGATCAACTAGAACTGAAGTTGTCTGCAAACAGGTATGTTTATTTTGGAGGAGATACCCAAAGACCCAAACCTTAACAAATAAGTTTTCTTTGCGCCCATGAATAAATCTACCTAAATCTAGCAGTGAGAATTACAGTATCACTGGAACTGTTCTGTCTCACTTCTTGGTATGAAACACATGAGTAGATTTCTAAATATCTAATATAGACAGTCGGTTTGGGTGAAGAAAATGATGTGACTGGGGAGAGTACTTGTGTAAGTATAGCCAAGGGCTGGAGTTTAGACAGAAAATTTATTCAGAGGACCTCAGGTGAACTGCAGTATGTGACACCAGACAATAGAAGGGACTCTGAGATTTAGTCCACCCATTTGCCCCATCAGAGAGTCAGTGCTTCCTAACTCAGTCCTGCTAAATGTTTGCCTAAGCTGTTCTTAAAATATGCAGTGATGGAGACTCCACAGCTTGGCTAGGTAATGAGTTGTAACGTTCATGTCTTCCTACTATTGGTTAGACGCTGGGGAAAGTGCCTTTTCACTGGGGAAGGTTTGCTTTGCAGCAGTTGAAGGTTATTCCTATTTGCCCTGCACGGTGGTGGTGGTGCCCCCATCTTCACAGCTGTCTTCTATGGGTTCTCTCATTTCACAGAAGCTACCCTTCCATGGTAGCTATTCCTGTTCTGCTAGTGTTCCTGTCCTTACACCTTTACCTTTCCCCAACCCATGACCCATACTTATACTGGGCCTGTTGTAATACCCAGGTCCTTTTCTAAAGAACTGCCACCCATAACCATTTCTTCCCTACCCTGAGTCTGTTCCGTTTATTATGTCTGTTAAGATATAAAAGTATGCAATCGAATTTCATGAATTGCAGCCCCTTCTAGTAGTATTAGGTATTATCTGCAAATGTAACAAGCATTCATTGCAGTCTATTATCATGGTATAGTTCATGTTTTCAATAATAACCAGCAATCACCTTTCAAGAACCCCAGCTGAAGACAACCTTCCAATTTTATAATGAACCACTGATAGCTATTCCGAGTCTTTTTCCCATCAGTAATTTGGGGGGGGAGAAAGGGGGGGAACCCTCAGTTGATCTTTGAGAAGGACCCACAGCGACTGTCTCAATTAACTTCAAATTTTCATTATGTATTGAGAATTCTAGATCCTCCCATTTATTTCCTGTACTTTCTGGCATTAGTACTTTTTGACTTCCTCTTCTGGGTTCTGCTTTTTTGGGGGCAGATATTCACCCACTGGCCAGAGGTGATTACTCCAGGATGTATTTCTATTCTCTCCCCAAGACTCCCCCACTCACACAGCTCAACAGTGAATTCATCATAGAAGTTTCTTCATTCAGGATAGCACAGTAGGTACCAGCATAATGTCGGTCCATAATTATAACAGTAATAATGGTACATAATTTCTGTTGCAGTGTGATACTCATCTAGGCCATGTGTTTGACGATGGTCCCACACCTTTTGGGCAGAGGTTCTGTATCAACAGTGTTTCATTAAACTTCAAACCAGGCTCTAGTCAGTGAGAAGTCGATCTCTGTGACTTACTCCTTTCACTCCTCATACAACAGGCTTGTGAAAAACTCTCACGCTTTTAATAGAGAACTCAAATTTTAGTACTTATGCCATTGCAGCTTTGCTTTCCAGCTATTATCAGTGTTGATAAAATACATATTTTTGTGGTAACTCTTTGGCAGTCTGCCTTTTCATGGTTAGTGTGATGTAAGTGTTAATCTGTTTATTGTATTTTTTTAACTTTAAAAAAAATCTATGCAATAGTTCACATTCATAACCATCATCATTAACTGTATTGAGGCTGCTGAAGTGAAGTGTTGTCCTGAACCTGACTTTGCCTATGCTGAACGGTAGTTGTGGCACCCAGGAATACAGATGTACATGGCTGATCATACCAGCGCTTTTACTTCTGTAAAATCATCATATCCTTCTAAAGGGCAGCAAAAATAACATGAATCTCCAAATAAGGTTTGAGGGGGTTTTTTCCCTGATGTGAGAGACCTTTAGCCAAGCCAAGTAACTTTTCTGTGAATCCATAAAAGTAAAGTCCTGAAAGAGGGCCTAATTAAATCTATTCCAGGCAATGGAACCAGTGGAGACAGAGAGTCTTTCTTCTTTTAAATCAATTACTTTGATTCTGTGTCCGATAGCAGAGCTGAAGTAGGGTTTGCTCCAGGAACTTCCATTTACAGAAATAATATGATAATAATGTAACAATCTGTGTAATATCTCCAGACTTCTGTTATGACTTGTGTATTTCAGAATCTGAAAACAAAAATGAAAGTGAAGCTTACTGTATTCGGGGGGGAGTGGGGGGGGGGAAATCAGCATCAAAAACCATGTTCACTGAAGTGATGCTTTTGTTGAAAACATGCCTTGTCTGTTCTTCCTTGTACAAGTTTGTAAATACTTCTGTATTCTCCCAAGCATTGTCACCATGGTTTGCTGTAATAGGAAAATAAATCGTATGTTTGTTAAATTGAGCTTTCCTGCTTTCACATTTTTTTCCAGAGAAAATAATCTCTGAGTCAGAACATCAGCTTCACTAAACTGGCTGGGTTTAAATGCTTCCCTGCTGAGAGTTACTAGGCAACATCTCATTTGGCTTTACCTATAACAGGCTGTTTCCATTCTCCCCACTTTGGTTGCCTCAGTAATAAAAAGGGTGTGTTCATTTCCTTAGACTAGTGTAGTCTTAAAACTGTTTAATGTCTTCAGAAAGTGGACCTCTATTGCACTGAATTTACTTTTCTCCTTCTGTCTTGGAGCTCTGCAGCTTTTCATTCTCCTGTACTTTCTACAGAAGAACTCTACAATTTCATAACTTTTAAAAACATCATATGAAGACAGTGATCATCACTACAGCCAACCTAAACCAGAATGGCACAAAGGCCACCAGAGGTGTGAAGCAGCATAAATGAAGCAAACACTTGCCGCTACTGATTTTATGTAGTGTCATAGATGGTGACAGTCACGTCATCAGAGGTGTCTGTTAACAGCAGCAGCATGCTGCTTGCTGTGTCTGTGCTGCATCATGCTGTGCCGTGCAGAGATGCCCTTGCATCACCTATTGCTATCACCTGCCTGCTCTCACCAGGATGTACGTGCCCAGCCTGCTCAGGTCTCTGCTCCCAAGAGATTTTGCAGGTTGTACAGAAATCACCATCCTTGCATGCTCTGAATTCATGTACTCCCCATCTGATTTACTTTCATTCACTGGTTGGTTTTTTTTTCTTAAAATCTATTGCACAGCTACTGGAAAGGGGGTTTGGCCCTTACAGGCATTTTTTAGTAAGGAAGCCCACTCCCCTCTCCTCACCTTTCACATCAGGAGAGGGTTGTCTCAGAAAGGAGCGTGACTAGAAGGTGTCCCCAGCTGGACTCCTGTGTTCAGCCAGGTGCTGGTGGAGAAGCCAGCACCTGTATGAATACAGTGACTTTTGGCTGGGATACCAAATTGAAATGCTCCTCGTTTCTGCAAATGGCAGAAAGTAGGAAGACAACTGGCAAAATACCTGTTTCTTACCTGTCCCCACAGACACCCGGTCTCACTGACACCTTCTGCGGATGAGACTGAATGCCATACAAACAAAATAGACCGTGGACCTGACAAAACAAGTATCCACACACAGACTAGTGTGCAAACAGCGCTCAGTTTAGTACTTTGGATGTACATGGTTGGTGGAGACCAGCTCCTAATGAACTGGCAAGTTAGTAACTATTACTGACAGAGGAAGCTTGCCTGAGCAGAGAGCACATTTATTTTACACCTATAAAGATCATCGTATGCAACTGGACGTTTGTGCTAAGAAGCAGCTGGTGCCTCCTCACTCGCACAGCAGGATGACCTGATGAAAGAGTCCTGTAAGGCTCCGGTTTAGCTCGTGCAGTGTTAATTACAGACACATAATCATATGAACAGACCCATATCTTCAAGAACATCACCTGACCTGCACTACACTGATGTGTCACCAAGCAAACAGCATAAAGCACAACTCTACTGCCCCAGAGAAACCAGACACTGAGCTAAGCAACCTCGTTCTGCTTATTCAAATGAAAACAAGGAAAAGAGGAAGGTTTGGCTTTCACCATGTGTATAAAATCGGAGTAATGGCCCATCCCCTTTCAGTGTGGCCGTGTATTCCGCAGTTTGGAGTAGCTATGCTGAGAGATACTTGAATATCCCACCCCTTACACTTCACTGTAACACTAAAAGTGTTTAGATGTCTGTATGTACCTATGTGTGTATATCAGTAGAGGAACAGGGGAAATAATTTTGCTTTGTAAGCATGGCCAGTAATCAACTTGGAATAAAAACCGAAATCAACAGAAGCCCTCTTATCACTCCCAGCCCTCCTCATTGTGGGCAGGAACTATAAATAAAAGTAATAAAACACAGCCAATGATGCAGTATTAAGCAGAGGAAAAGGGAGGTAGTAGGTAAGGGAGAAATGAGTGGAGGAAATGGGTATGAACTTCTTGAATTAGCTCTTCTGATGCTTTTTTGGCAATGTCTGACTCTCGCTTATATTCTGTGCTGTATCAGATAGCGGCTGGAAGTGGTTGCACAGCAATCTCGAGTAGTGTGGTGGAAATAAGGCAGAGGTTTCTTAACTGATCCATCTTTTATTACATTATCACTTGTGAAAAATGATATGGATCAAATGGTTTACTCCTCAGTAGTCCTTTATAAAATGGCAAATTTGATAGCCTTGTTTTCTATTATTTGTCTTACAGTACAAAATGGGGGAGAAGGACCATGTTCATTTGGGTACAAGATAATTATCTCATGAGCAGAGCATTATTATTATTAGGTTAACAATTAATTTTGAGGATGTGCCAAGACCTGCATGTATGAAACTGCAAGCTGTCTGTGTCTTTGTTTTACCATTCCCTCTGCTGGCTTTTTATTCTCTATGTATCAGCTCAAACTTCTATTTTTCACTTTTAAGATCTATCACAGCATCGTCCCACCTTGTGTTTTGTCTCATACATGCTGATGGTACTGGCCTGTGCTCTGCCAGTAATGTCTGCCTTTGTAAATTTAAGGTCAAGCTTTCTTCAAATACATTTGTGCTTTACCTTGGGCTGCCAAAACCAGAGGATATCCATCTAAGACTCTTCAAGACCACTTAGTTACCTTGCCTCTTCCTGGCCTCCTCCCTGAAATTTGCATCTCTCAGTATGCACATAAAGCACATCTAAGCAACTGGTGTACTCTGACAGCTGGGATAACACCAGCCATAATGATGCCACTGTTACCTTGTGCTTCATGCATCTGCCAGGGGAATCCATGTGACATTTCTCATGATGTATTTGAGTTTATCTCCCATGACGATGAGTTTACACAAACTAATTTTATGTCTATAAACAGAGCTGTTGACATTTATGGTCTCATCCCCATGTGATGTAAACTGCTGGACTGTCCTGGTTTCAGCTGGGATAGAGTTAAATTTCTTCCTAGTGCTATGTTTTGGATTTAGTATGAGAAGAATGTTGATAACACACTGATGTTTTGAGTTGTTGCTAAGTGCCCTATCAAGGACAGCTCCATGCTCTACCTAATGCAGAGGCTGGGAGGAGGGAGCATAGCTGGCCCAGCTGGCCAACAGGGTATTCCATATTCCATACCATGTGACGTCATGCTCAGTATATGAATGGTAGGCGTGTTCCAGGCAGTAGCGATCGCTACTTGGTTATCGGTCAGCGTGGGTGGTGAGCAATTGCATTGTGCATCACTCACTTTGTATATTCTATCATTATTATTATTTTCCCTTTTCTGTTCTATTAAACTGTCCTCATCTCAACCCACGAGTTTTTCTCACTCTTACCCTTCCTATTCTCTCCCCGTCCCACTGGGGGGGAGGGGGGAGAATGAGTGAGCAGCTGCGTGGTATTTTTCTGCCTGCCAGGTTAAACTACGACATGGACATTCGGGACCTCTGACCGTAAGCTCTTTGGGGCAGGGAACTTCATTACCTTCTGTGTCTGTGGTACCAACCACACCAGGGCAGATCCCAGCTAAAGGCCCAAAGTGTTATAAGATCATGAATAATAAAGACCGATAATGATGGAAGACACTATTAAAGAGTATCATAGGCTACAAGAATTTCCTCGTGTATCTGCACTGACTTTGTTCCACCATAGTGAATAAAAAGCAGTTGCTTCTCTGAGCTGAATATACCCTGCCAGGCAACTGCAGATTTATGTTCCATCCTTCACATCTGAGAAGTTTTTCAACATTGTTATTTCATTAATTACTTTCAATGATGATACTTTTTATCCCATTGTGGTTTTAAATAACCTTTTTATAAATCCTAATTGAGGTTTCTACATAATTCTTAAGAGATTTTCACATCTTAAATAAACTATTTCAAGACTTTCTTAGTCTTTGCAGCATCTCTACAAGGCAAGTAATTTTTCTTAATTTTACTGAGGGAAGACTTGATGAGAAGAATTTAATTGACTTATTCAAAACTACAAATTAAATTTGCAGCCATGCCAGAA